TTCTGTTTTAATTTTATAGATGCTGTAACCTCATGATTGATTGTGTTTCCTTTCCCTCTTGGCTGGTAAATATCTTAAGTGAAATCTGTGGCCCATCACTGTTGGGGTGCACTTCATACACAAACCATTCCCGGTCTCACCTTCTTCCTGCTTTTACGTCCCTCCATTCTGATCCCAGCCTATTCTCTTAGTCGGTTTCCCTGTAGCATAACCACATGGTATCTTCCAACCTATATAATTAGAATTCCATGTGGAACCAGAGCATGTTTATAAAATGCGAGAAACGTTTCAGGATACAGCTATCTTATAAAGTTTTATTGAAAAGGGGCTCTACCCCACTTTTGGGTTAAAATGGCCTTTATTTCCAGAAGTAAAAGGTTTATTTCATATTTGACTATTTAATCCATTTGGAATCTATGTCATGAATGCCATGAGGTCGGATCCAATTTCATTTTTCTCTATACGAATAGTTCCTTTTCCCAGCACCATTTGCTAGCCCATCCTTTCTCCACTCATCTGGGGAGTCCGTTCTGTATTATTCTCAAATTGGCATAAATGGGGCAGTCTGTTTCTGGACTCCGCTCTGTTGCCCTTGTCTATTAGTCGATTGCTGAGACTACACCACAGTCTCAATCATCATTTTACAGTGAATTTTGGCATCTGAAAGAACAAGTTCCCTCAAACTGTATTTCTTCAGTAGTATCTTGACTACTCTAGACCAAGTATTGCTCCATATATGTTTTAGAAACAACTTGTCAAGTTCTAAAACATATAATAAAAACCCTGTTTAAATTCTAGTCAAATCTGTATGGAATATATAAATTAACTTGGCATAATGGCGTTTTTACAATATTGAAGCTTCCTACCTCTTCTGATTTATATAGGTCTCCTTGAATGTCTTTCCATAGGTCTCAAGCTTCTTTTGCTGAATCCATACTGGCTACTTTATCTTTTCTGTTGCTGTTATAACTGGTATCTTGTATAAAAATCGCAAGGATCCTTGGACTACATGATAACATATGACCCTGCTCCTGTTTGGCCTCAACACTGTTAATGGACCACAGTGCTTCCAGAATTAAGTATAAACTCTTCTTCAGGCATTGAAAGCCTACAGTTACTCCAAGAATACTCCATGGCACACCATTAACATAAGGCTCCACTTTTAACCTAAGGTCTACAAATCAGGAAACTATTATTCTAATTTTATTCATCTTTTTCTTCAAAATTCCTCTCATCTCTTAAAATGTATCTTCTATTTATTTGTCTTATATCAAACCCTTTATCTCCTGCACCCTTGTCCCAGCCATCTTATAAATCATACACCTTCATGTATACCCAACAGGCCCAAACACCGTTCTTTCTACCTAGAAGCCACCATTCCTCTTACCAGTCAGTGTGCCCCCAGGCTTCCAGTGTTCAAAATAACTTTTTTAAAGGTATGGTACTTACTTCTGACCCCTCATGATATGTGATCACAATTTGCCTTCATATAAATTGTACCTATTAGCCCTAGTCTTTCTATCTCTATGGAATATGCATACTTTTTCTTTAACAAACAGCCTTTAAAATACTTGAAGCTGAAAATAGTATTATCATAAAGATCCTGGAATATCTGGAAGCTGAGGACAAGCCTGTTGTTAGGTGACTTTTCTAGGGAATCTAATCCAGCTAAGACTACAATCCTTTTTCTTACCAAGATCTCTCTAACATGCCTGCTCTCTGCTCTTAGTCTAATGCTGACTTAACTAGCTGGGCAGCCACAGACATATCTGGTCACTCCAGGGTATTTGGATATAATGTAGAGAATTCTTTCATAGACCAGAATTACTTGGGCACTAAGAAATGAAAAACACCCAACATGGCAGTAGGGCAATATTATTTTTCACATCCTGGGACACATGTAAAATATTTGACCAGCACACTGCCATACACTGGAAGGAATTTGGGGTGTGTTACGGCTCTTGGTGAAAAAATTATTATATTTGCTTTATATAAGAAAAAAGCATTCAAATATATTAAATAATAAATGTGTATATGTATTCCATCAAAAATTTAATGAGATATTTGAGTGAGCTTAGTTTATAGAGAGAACTAAACAACTGATGTTCAGGTATAACTTTAATGTGGTAAATTATGCACGGTTTGAAAAATGGGATCATTCTAAAAATTTACAATAATCTGATATTGAGAGTCATAATTAATCCATCCCCAGGTGGGAAGCACTGTCCTAGAAAAACATGAGTGCATGCGAAGAAACGGCTGCTTATCTGCTCTTTCTTCCCTCTTTCCTTTCCAACTCTTTCACTCTGCCTTTCCTTTCTCTTTCTTTTATTATTTCATTCTAACATCGTTTTCATTGACCTATAATTGATAACCCCCTTTGCTCCATTGAGCTGCCTCAAGGCCTGAAAATATGCTAATCAACTCATCCTATCAGTAAAACATCCAGCACTGGGAAAGCAGGTCAGAACTGGACAGTCCCCAGACGGGGAGGCAGAGCACTGAGTCTAAGGGGCAGAAACTGGTGGCACTGACTGCAGCCGCTAGGCCCATCCTGCTGCAAAAAAGGTGTGTGCTGGAGATGGTCCGCAGCTTTACTTCGTTTTCTAAACCTCTAGGACTGCAGCGTTCCCTAGCAACAGAGGCAAAGGATCAATTTAGAAAAGTGCTTTCCAGAGCATTCCTATCCAGCTCCTGACCAAGCCATTTAGTTTACATGATCAAGCAATTGAAATTCAAGGAGATTTATCACTGACCATCCTCAGCAGCAAGAGTGGAAGAGCACCTCTTGATATGTATACTACTAATGTCCGTGATGACGGATTCTACCTCTGCTACACAAGCAGGAATGGGTTTCAGCAAGAATTAGTAGTCTCCGCATCTCACTGTGAGCCGACAGTGTTGCTAGGGAAACTGATAATTATGTGGCAACACGGAGGGTGTAAAGGGAAGAAGAGTTCAGAAGAAATGGGAGGTTTTGCTCTAAATCAGCATGTTAATAGTACAGTTTATTGATCTTCTGTAGTCACATAATTTAATAAATAGCATTAATTATATGTTTGACAAGATACAGATTTGTGAACTGAGAGAAAGGAACAGGAATGAATCGGACTCTGGAAAGCTACTGGTTGTGGTCATACCTTGTGCATGCCACAGCAGCGACACACATGTCTATTATAAAGTACAACTGCCTTGAAGAATTAAAATATTCAAAAACATGAAAAAATGTTGATTTCTGAAATTTTATTTTAGAAATCAATCTTACAGAGCTCCAGATATAAACACTGTAATTCTCTAAAAGCTCTAATAAAATTGCTTTCTTTCACCTCATAGACTATCTTATAGCCTCACAATGCCCTTTACGTAGGGAAGAAAGAAGCATTTCTATTTACATATAATAGTAACACCAACCCTATTGAGCTGAATGACTTTAATGAAGTCACTGAGCTCTTCAGTCAATGGTGATGCCTGAGCTAAATACTCCAATTTAAGCTGACCAGGAAGCATTATATTATACATTATATCTTATTAAGGGAAAACCCAGAAGAGGGATATAAACTTAGTGAATGGACTCAAATCTCTAGATATCACTTTAGTTTTAAATGAAGACTTCCAATACTTTTCTTTTTTTAAAAACTTTTAAATATGTTTTTCATTGATTTCAGAGATAGGAAGGGAGAGAGAGAAGCATCAACAATGAGAGAGAATCATCCTGCCCCTGCACGCCCCCCACCAGGATCCAGCCCACAGCCTGGGCATGTGCCCCGACTGGGAATCGAACCAGGGACCTCTTGGTTCATGGGTTGATGCTCAACCACTGAGCCACACAGGCCAGGCCATATTGTTAACTTTTAGAACTAAGCTCTTAGCTATTAAAAATGAAAAGTATTGCCCGGCTAGTGTGGCTCAGTGATTGTCCATGACCCAGCACATACCTCAGTTGTGAGCTTAATCCCCAGTGGCGAGGGCATGCAGGTACAAGAGGCAGCCAATCGATGTTTCTCTCTCTCTCTACCCCTCTCCATTCCTCTCTAAAACCAATAAAAACATATTAAAAAATAAAAATAAAAGTTAATGATATGAGCTAAACACCTGTTAATCAAAAAAAAAACAAAAAACACCTCACTGGAGACGTTTGAATACATGAGAAAGATCATCAAAGAATCAGCTGGCCAGGGGACAGAGCTTTCCTGCATGTCCCGTCACTGCCTGTGATCAGCAGTCCTCTCATTATACTGCTGCTGCACACATTCTTTTATTTTCCTTTTCCAAGGACGACTGGGTAGCTATTTTAACCGAAAATTTTCTATCCCTGTGTACTTATAATTATAAATTCTTATACATTTTCTAATCTGTAAATATATTATAGCTATTAAAACATGCATTCACATGGATATACACACAGTTGTGTACGGGTGTGTATGTGTGCGAGAAAATCAGTAATTTATTTGTGGCTGGTGTATGAGAGAAGACAACCATTTAAACAGAAAATGTTTCCAGTGTTTTGGTCTTACTTGGCCTTAGACAGAATAAAAGAATGAGAATTATATATAGGACAGCAAGAGAAAAGCACAAAACTTATATAGAACTTCTTAATGAACTCCAAGAGCTGGCAGTAGGTAGTCAGCTTTCTGATCTTATAAAAAAGATCTTTACTCCAGTGATTTAAAACTGTCAAGTCTTATTCATTCCCATTAATGCAGAAGTAGTACCGCTCACCCCAGATGGGATGAGCTATCGCTTTAAGGCAGTTTAGCAAGTCTACCAATGTTATGATGGCTTTAAAATAATATCTGGCTTGCGTAAGTTGGAATTTTGTTTCTTTACATCAAAGCATTTATTTTTGATAAGACAAGTGCTAAATGATAAATTCCTATTTTGATAAACGTTTTCTTCTCTCCCATGGCAGAAAGGCACTTTCAACTTCTAAATCCCTGGATAAGAAAAAGAATGTACTTTACAGTCATTGAAAACAATTTCTGTGGTTCGGTTAGACAAACCTTGACTCAAGCTGTCTTGACAAGACGTCTGCTTGATATCCACATTCTCCATGGTATCGCCCTTAGAGACTTCGCCAAAAGATGTTCTTCTCTCGAAGATGTTGTTGTTATTGTTAACTTGAGTCCCATTTTGCTTCAGTAGCCTGAATACCTCAGCTTCCAAATCTTTAATCTAAGGAAAAAAAAACCCATTTATAAAACTCTCAGCCAGCCTTCTCTCCAAGTACCAGGCAAAACGATCCTATTATTTAGTGGCTTTGGCCACATAACTCACCCGTACTTGCAGGCCCTGAACTTCCACAACGTGAGCTTTTTCCAAATCTTCTATTTTCTTTCTTTCTGCTTCCTGTCTCTTGATGAAATCAAGTTCTCTGAAGAAGAAAATAATAGGTCTGATTGCATCAAACACTCAAGAAATGAGGAAACATGGGAAAATCCTTATTGGAAGCAATAAACTGCACAGTGGGATAAATAACTGGACAGCTACTTATATAAGTGAAACTCAATCACAGTTAGAGAAAAGGTATATAGTAATGAAAGCAAATAAAACATGCTAATGGATCACAAGGTAAAGAGAAATGCTTTGACTCTACTGACTATGATTTTCATTTGCAGCTCCTGATTCTAGAGCAGCCATACATTTTTAGATAGGAGCTAATGAACAAGTGACCCACCCTGAGTAATGCAGTGGGAATAATTACATGTGAGGTAGATAGAATTCCACATTTACAGAGTAAAATATCTAGTAAACAATGGAACTGAATGGTAAAAGAGAATTATCATAAGATTGCTTCCTATGAATGACAGTGGAATAGGGCTAGGTGAGTCAGAAAACCTGAGAGGGAGCTGTCACACACCTGAGGATAATAGGGGGAGAAGGAGAAGTATCTCCATTTTGAGAGCCCGGAATATAATATGCAAATTTAGCAAAATTTATAATAAAGTTATTAGATGACTTAGTTATGATACTTCGGGCAAGAAAAGTTAAAATAGTGATGTACTGAATTCGTAGTTATGAAGAGCAATTTCCCCCTTTTAAACAATAAGCTTTTTTATAGCATTTTTCTTTTAAATATCGAAAACATTATTTCCATGATAGGAAATAACTGAGATACGGTGAATCTTACATATATGCTTAGCTTCTGAGGCTTGGCATGAAGACCTACTGGCATCACTTTGAATTCTTCTAGTTAGCCAGAAGTAACTGATGAAAAAATCCAGTAAAAATCTCCCTGGTCAGTCTCCCTGAAATTACACTAAGATCCAACAGATGGAAGCAAAGCAGCATTAACTCAGAAAGAGCTGTTGAAATTCAAGAGCGGACTGTGGTGATGGTCTCTTACAGCAGTGAAGTGGCTGGGCAGGGGGTCTTGCTAGTCAATATTTATACTATTTGTAGTGGGGAAAATCCTGCAGTTACTGATTCTAAGAATGGAGACAGAAACAGCCTCAGCAAGGCCCCAATTGCTGCTTTGCATGTACTATGTTCAAGAGTCTTCTGCATGACTTCAGCAGGGCTTCCTGCCTCTGAATTACAGGGATGTTTACAAAAAGACAGAGATTCAAATGTTTTTACGGTTACTATCGATGATCAAAGATCAAAAAAGCAATGCCATGATATAAGTGGTTGCCAAAAAACGATAAAATAAAATATAATCTCCTATGGAAAAAAAAGACAGAAAGTGTTTTCCAAAACTTAATGTCTGTTTTCGCTTTAACTATGCTTCTTGGAGGGTTAAGTCTGAGGCCATCTTTTCTATTCCACTAGGTATTACAAGATTACTGGATATAAACCTTCTTTATATACACACAAGTATTCTTCAGTCGTTAGAAGCTGCTTACTTTTGTTGAAAATCCTTGATCAATTTCTTTGCCTTGTTGTATTTCTTTTCCAAGGCCTGATACTGGCTCTGAGTCTCTTTGAGGTGTTCGTTTACTGTGTGGCACAGCGTTTGAGCCTCGATCCAGTAGCTCTCCAACTTCAACATTCTTTCTTTATTCTCTTCTATATTCTGTTGGAGTTGAGTTTTTTCTAGTTCCCACCTCACTTTCTCATTTTCTGCTGCCTGCAGCTGGATTAAAAAAATGTCAAGGCAAAGATAATCTGGGTACTTCTGAACCAAAAATCCCTCGCATTTTTATAGCGTGTTTTTGATTAAATTCAACTGCTACATATACTCAATCACCAAACACCTTGAGAAGAGAAGAGCAAGTATTATTTTCATGATTTCACAGATTATAAAGGAAGCCTTGAAAAGTGAAATGCTTTGCCCAAAGTCACACATCTGATAAATGACAAAACATGGGTTGGACTCCAACTCCCATTATCTTTCCAGCACAGTATGTGGTCTGAAACTGTGTGAGCAGTAAAAAAATGTTCCAGAGTTTGACTAACAACTCTAGCCAATGAATTTCAACAGGTTTTCCTTCAGAGATTTTTTAAAAAATGTATAATTATATGTAAAAAGTTAAATGACAAGGGTGGGAAGACAGACAAGTTGGGAAGGAGAAAGGGGCAAAGCACAGTGTGGCCCATTGCCTGCACGGAGAGGGCGCTCTGGAGTCATTAGGTTTAGATTTGATTCCCTGTTCCGCCAGTATTGACTCCCCCCCATTCTATTTATTTTAAAAAGTTAATTATAATTTTTTTCAATTACAGTTTACATTCAATATTATTTTGTATCAGTTTCAGATGTATAGCAAAGTGGTTAGAAAATCATGTACTTTACAGAGTGCCCCCCCCTTCATGCTTTAAGCACCCACCTGGACCCCCCATATACAGTCATCACAATGCCACTGTTGGCCTTTAAGCCTTGGGCAAGTAACTTAAGTTCTCTAACATCAGCCTGCTTGGAACAGCTTCTTGCACATAATAATTATCTAATAAGTGTTATTTTTACTTTGTTTTTATCCCTTTTGATGATATTTTACATCCTTTATTTCAACTGACATGAACATAGTTTTTTAGCTCATTATTTTACTGGCAGTGCTCTAAGCCTTATAAACCCCAATCTGCATAAAAGTACAGAAAATAGTGTAAGTAAAAATATAAATTATTGTTAATTTAAATCCCTCCAATGGAACAGAGAAGCAGCTTCTTGTGGTTTCTGCTTCCAGGGACTGCTCGAAATAGATAATAACTAGTCCCACCCCATCATTTCCACAGGAACTCAAGGCTGGTCCTTTAGGTGAGAGGTCCAAGGTCATTCGTTCACAATAACTAACTGACCTTTAAGAAGTGTTTCATCTATTTCACACGCCTCCTCTAAAGTTCAGGAAGATGCAGAGGCGTTCTGAACTATCAATTTTCAGAATCGAATACATTCCAAAACCATACAACATTCAGCAAATTTTAAAAAAATGTTTTATGTATATTTTAAACTAAATATATTGGCAAAACAGATTACAAAAGTAAAAAAATACTCAAAAACATTTCAAAATTAGAAACTGTATCATCATAGTCATAAAGAGTCATAGTAAAGTAAGCTAATCTATGGATGTTATATGTCAGTATAACAATGAAAAAATATAAAACACTAACTTATAGGATTTTCTAACTTAAATGTTTATAATCTAAAACATAAGCTTTGTCAAAGCACTTACAATCACAGGGGAATCTTTTCCTTAATTGTAACCAACAATTTAAAAAAATACTTCTACTCTTCCATTTGATGCCAAGAAACAATAGCAACCTCAAACAGGACTGGGATTTTACTGCATCTTTTATTAAGCAATGTTTTGCATTCAAGTTGTTTATTTACCAACCACCACTAATTTAAAAATTGTTATTCACAGAGCTTGGCTGATACCATGAATGATGTATAGACATGTTTTGACTAAAGAGCTACAGAGTTATTAGCTGGGAATACCATTTAACCAAAATAGCCTTGCTAATTAATCTCCATTTAAAACACATGGAAAAACCAAAACAATCGTTCAAAGTGAACAGGAAAACAGATTGTTAGCGGTGGGGGAGGAACTATGTCTTAATTTTTAAAAGACCATAAAGACAATAAAGAATACTGTTTTAAAAGCAATTCAAAAGATATTTTTAAATCTCTGAATTGCATATTTGATGAAACTAGACACAATTCAAGTAATTTACCTTACAATATACCAACTAAAAATGCCCTTTTGAATGTTGTATTGCATATAAACTAAAAGTACATAAAACCTTTCATCATGACCTGTTTTCCCCCACGAATTTAAATAATGTGAACTAAATATATAAAAATGTTCAGTACCATCTAGCACCTACAAGCAATTATTCATATATTATATTAAGTTTCATAATATTAGAAATTGGATTTTTTTCTATACAGAATAATTAATATGCTATTAATATACATTGTTTCTGAGGAATGAGTGAAAAATAAATAATTAAGCTTATTCAAAACAAGATAAAAAGAGACAGTATAATAGCTTGTGCATAAGGAATTATGGTCAAAATGTAATTCAGATGAGTGAACCATTAAAAATATTTACCTTTTTTGGGAAAGCTAAGAGGGAACCACATATGTGTAAATATGTATTTTTAAAATACTGTGCAATTTTCACTAAGGGGGGTATAGTGGTGCTTACACCCTGGTGATACAGTTCCCACTGCCAGGTTCGTTCATGCATCTGACAGTGGAAATGAATCTCTGACATCTGCACTCTTTCAAAGGTACGGGAACAAATCCTTTAGTCCCAGGGCTGAATTTATTCACAGTCTCCGAAGTTTAAAAAGTACAATTCAAACTCCATGTATTGACTGGTGCTTACCTTGCTCTTCAATTTTTGAATCTCTGCTTCTGTCACCGCATGTTTGATTTGCAACTGAAAATTGAAAAGAAAGAAAAATCGGAGCTAAGAATGTGTATCTACATTTTCAAGCCTCAGCAACTAAAAAATATTGTGTTCCACAGCAGAAGGCCTAGGAAAGTGCTGCAATGCAGCAGGTTGTAAATTAAAATACCCGGTGCGTCAAATGACTCACTAGGTACAAAATAATTACACACCGGGTCTATGGTCCACACTCCCTCACATCGGATTGAGTTACAAATTTAATTGATCAGGGACCAAGGAGAACGAAACACATTTCCTCGCCCCCCTCGCAGTTCTTCCTTTAGGATTTGAGCGCCAAGCAACTGTTTTCCTCGCAGTCCTGTGGACTGAAACGCTTAAGGAGAAAGGTCGGCCGGAGGCTGCGTGAAGGTTCGGTTCCCAGGCTGGAAGACAGGTGGCGCTGTGGTTCCGCGAGTCACTCGGCCGAGCGGCTCTTTCCCGCCCAGGCGGCTGCAAAGGGAGCCGAGGCTGATGCAGCTCCGCAGAGAAATCGGTGTTTATTTTTTAATTGCAGGAAAGGTACAGATTTCTGTCCTCCAAAATATCTACTTCTGCTGAGGACCCGGACCCCCAAAAGCTTCAGCTACAATTTGTTAGCGCGAGAGGCCCTCCCCCATTTCCATGTGTGTGTTTTGCTTCTCCCCTCCCCCACTTGTTTTCTCTGTGGAGGAAGAAAACGAAATATCCATTTCCTTCAGGGATAAATAAATACACCAACATTTACGGGAAACAATATATGGGTTGACAATCTCCTCTCTGAAATCCTTGGGGCCAGATGCTTTTGGAATTCAGACTTCTTCCAATTTCAGAAAGGGAGAAATGCATTTTCCATAAATTGCACATTTCCCGCAGCGGGGTCTGCGGAGGCGCTGTGATCAAACCGCCGATATTTTTGCATGTGACTATTTCCACTAAGTGAGGTAGATAAATTGTAAATAATATCCTATCAGCTTTTGTCATGTCTACCTCCAAATGAGTTAGGCACAAAATTATTTTAGAAATCTGCGTCCAGACCATATTGGATTTAGGATTGAACAAGAGGGACTGCAAACTTCTAATATTACTGTAATCAAGTAAGTCTAAGGTTTTCTTATCAGAAAAAGACAGTGAGCCAGCTGATGGAAGGATAGAAACTGGAACCTTAGGAGATCATGACGCATTGGAAACCTCAGCTCTCTCTTTGGTTTGTAACTTGCATTTTATTGATTTTTACCTGGCTACGAGGGGCATACGAAAAGAATGAAGAAGGAAGGGAGTCAGAATCAGGCACAGGTTGATGTAACACCTTTAGAAGCCAATGAATAAAAGCTTAGAACCTCAGAGACCCCAAGCTCCTAGCAAAGTTCCCCCCTTGATGCTTTCAGGGCTCCTGTTCTCTGTAAAGCCCTGGGGTCTGCTGCTACAGTGCTGATGCCGCTCTCCACCCTGAGTGACCTTGAAAACGGTTTCCATTTGATTCTGCCCCGCTCACATCACTTTTCTTACTTTCCCACTTTGGGCCTTGTCATTCCTGCAGTCTTGCCCATGTGGCTCTTGCTCTTTTCACCAGCACTGGTTCCCAGGGGCTTCGGGGCTCTAACAGTCTCTAGAGAGGAAGCGCTCTAATCTGGATGAATCTTTTGGTACCAGACCGTCCAGGCAACCCAGCCTCACAGGCTCGAGTGCCCAAGAGAAACTCCAACTGTGGGCTCTATGATGAACACACTACTGTAGAATCCCCCATGACTCACTTTAGACATGGAAAATTAGGGCTCCTAGCTGGAAAATGACCCGGTCCACGTCTCATAGTGAATTGCTATTAAAACTAGGACTTAGAACCTGGATCTTTGGGTTCCTGATCCAGTGCCATTTAATTAGGGATTAATTCAACAGGCATTTATTAAAGAGCTGTCATGTGAAGATCTTGTGAAAATAACTCTCCTTCTAATAAATATGTGTTGATCTATCTGACCAATGGAAATTAATAAACTAAAAAGGGCAAAAGTGCTTAGATATTAGACATGACACATTATTTATATATAATCATAAATATACTTGTGCGTGCACGCGCACATACACACAAATATGGCTACAAGGAATTATTCTCCATGGAGATTTTGCACTTCAGTGTGAACACACTTGGGCCCTGCAAATCCACGTGCCTAGGTGACTTTGGAGGATCTGCAATTATTATTGACAAGAAGATAGGCGCCTTGTTCTTCCTACTCTGTGCCAGTGTGAAGAGTGCAGCAGGTCCTCAAAGTCCATTTCACTGTAGACCATTCTCTCATTACAATGTTGATGAGCTACTGAACTCTGGTTTTTATCAAATAGCCTGTGGTAAAACTGGCCTCATTATAGCCTTTCGCTACAGTTCCAAGAACCTATCTACGCCATTAAATGAGGACTTACTACAGTTAAGTTAGATTGACTGAATTCAACTCAGGCCTATCATGTCATGGCTATATGGTGTTGGAAGATTACTTAACCTCTCTTACCTTCACTTTTCCCATCTGGAAAATGAAGTTCCTCATAGGTCTTAATCTTCCTTATTGGAATATTAAATGAGATAACCCATTTAAAACTTTTAGCACAGTGGTTAACAGAGAATCAGCCCTCTACAAAGTTAGCCGAGATTAAGAAAGAAGGATCAGAAGAACTCATATATGATTGCCTCAACACCACTTCTCAGTTAAAAGTCTTTAATGCTGTAAAATGTCACACTTGAAATAAAACGAACACCTCTGGTTCTATCTGAACAGTGGCAAGAAATGAAAAGGGCAGATTTTACAATGAGCACTGCAACTATGGGGAAGTGCCCAATTTTATCTTCTCAGTGGTAACTGCCTGTAGGAGAACCAAGCACACAGCAAGCAACTTGTCGAGATTTTGGATTTTCTTTGTCAATTACTGTGGCCTCCAGCAAGCTGCTTCTCCGGGCCCCAGTTTCCCATTTGAAAAATGAGAGGGCTAGATGGGATGAACTCCAAGGCCTTTGAGAGTATACTAGAGGTGTGACATTTATGAAATGGAGAGCCTGGAGATAGATGGTTGTCATGGTTGCAGAGTCTAGAAATTCTTGTCTGAAGCCAGCATTTTCATTCCTATGAATGCATATGCCTGATTAATCCACTGATGTGTGAGAGAAACTTAGGTAAAACCATGCAACAGATGAGTTGGTCTTCAGTTACCCCACCCCTCCTATCTCACCGAATGGGTAACAGAAGAGAGCTGGACTCATTAGCAGAACACTGATAAAAGCTTCGAGTGTTCCTAAGTTCAGCCAAATTCTTCAGATACAGGAAAGTAGAGGAAGTCTGTAAATTCAGACATTGTTCAGAAGATGGACAAAGTTTTACTGCAAAGTATTCTTAGTACCCAAAGGCCTAAAATTATAGATATGTGATTATTTTAATCTTGTATGGACATTAAAAGAATTTCTACAAATTCATCACTATTAACAGGAAAAGCATCAAAAATAAACTAATTGCACTCTTTCATTTTATAGAGAAAGAAACTGTGTTTCAGTAGCTTAAGTTGCAGAGCTAATAAGTAGCAAAGCCAGATTTTGTAAACTTCAATCCACAGTTTTTTCCACTAATACTAAATTTCTTAAGTGACCCTTTAACTTTTTTATCATCTCCATCAGCACTGCCAGTGAGTCTGTGAGGCAAGACAGGCACTGTTCATCGCACTATTCAGATGGGGACAGTGGCTCAGAGAAGTTATGTGGCTTCTTCAAGTTCCCAGTCGATGTAGGTGGGGGAGTGGAAATTATCCCAGGTCTGACGCTGTTCCTCCCTTCACTGTGCACCTAATCTGAACCAGCTCTGGGATACTTTTTTTCATTTAAACCTCACAAAACCCAGCAGCATAGGTCATGGTTGTCACCTCCAGATGAGAATGTGTTGCTGTGACTGGAAACCACGGATCACTCCTGGGAGTCTCTGAGTATCCTGACACTGGACACAAAGAGGTGCTCAATCGGCTGCCACTGTTATTAATGGAACTTAGGAAGAAATTCCTGCTTCCTTGTTCAACCAGCATTTACCGAGTGAGACTGTGTGCCTGGAGCTGTGCTAGTCACTCAGGATACAAGAGCATGATAGTGAATCTACCTTCAGGACACTTACTGCAGGGAGATTAATAAATATCACCTATTGAGAGAAGTTCCCAGGTCACCCTGAGAGGAACGACAGGGGGAACCTGATCCTAGGTGGCCTGCAAAGTCTATTATTCCTATAACCAGGTCAGATGGCCTTGGGCTTTGGCCTGTTTGTCAGATCTCCAACTGTGGACCCCACTTTCCAGGCAAAGTGGGCAAGGTGGGAGTGAGCCTGAGATACCTCCATTCCATGAAGAAGAGAAAAATCACTCTTCAAAGAGGTGAAGCAGCTTAACAAGGGAAGCACAGCTGGTAAAAGGTTACGTTTTCTTATTCTAGAGCAGTTCTCCTTCCACAGGTTCAATAACCTTTCCAAAGCACAGGTCCAAGGGTTCGCATGTCGCCCCCTGAGATGGCTCATGCAACAGGAGGTCAACAGGATCGGTTAATAGAAACAGCGCGAAAAACCTGTTGGTATTTTTGGGCTTTAAATAATCTAGGATCAGAGAAGAGAACTGAGAAGGGAAGATAGAAGTAATGTTGCAAGTCAGTGCTTTCCCATTTGCCAGACCCATCTCTTTAATCTCTTCTCTTCTCTTTACCATAAATGCCATAGATATCCACCCCAGGACTACAGCACAAGTAAACATATGCATTCCCAGAGAGAGTAGCAGCTCTCATGTAACGTTCTGCAGGTCTACCTGCTGGGTCTAGTTTCTGTTTATTTCTCTCAAGAAGATGAATAGAGAACACGTGCTCATAGCATTGAATCAATATAACCCAACTATAACTGCACGAAAAATGGAGACATCCCTTTGCATTAACATAAATAGTAAGACTGACCTTCTGCACTGTCTTCACTTATCCTGTGGGAGCATGGGAAACATTTTCCTTAAAAAGTGAAAAA